CTTTCATCCTGGAGTCAGGCCCAAAGTAGAATCCTAGATCTTAACACTGTTGAATTTGGGAAAAATGAAGATGAAACCCTGAATTTATCACAGCCCTGCCCCTACTCTTGACTAATTCTTTATCCTACAGTCATTGTCAGCAGCAAGTATCTGGAGCCTATATACATCCTTTCATACTCCATCTCATGGTCATGATACCCAATGATGGGAAATAAGTTAATACACGATAGTCCATTCTCACTTCTCAATACTTAAAAGAACACAATGATTCTTAAGACAGATACAGCTGAGAGACATCTGAAATTTCTGAGTTGTTTGACACTGCCCACAGTCTACATACATATTTAAGTTTCACTACCTTTTGAAGTGCCAAAACCAAAATTTGTTGGCATTTCTTGCCTCCCTGTGTCTCCTACTGTAGGACATGCACATTTCAGTTTCTATGGGAACTTTTTTCCTGTGAAACTACAGTCAATTTGCATTTCTTTAGCCACTTTACAACCAAGCAAATCTGATTAACAGCCAAATAATTATTTTTTCTCACTATTAAACATTCTATTCCTTTTTTTTTTTTTTTTCTCACCAATATTTTCAGCTATCATGCCCATTTCATGCTCTGAATACATTAAAACCTGAAGTTCTATTTCTGCCATGGTCACCTAGTAATCTTAAACAGGCAAGTCCTTTCCTTTGGAATATCTTTGCTTCCAATGACCACAGTATACATTGCCCTGGCTGCCTAGGACATCTGCCTTACTGTTTGTTTCCTGACCTATTTCTATTAAGTACAGAGACTAGCTGAGGATTTATGCACTTTTCCTCACTGTTCATTTTGGAACTTCAAGTCTATGACTCAATAGCAACTGTGTCCATCCTCTGTGGTCAAAAATAAAAGATAATAGTTGTACTTACAGGGCAACATTTGCAATAAAAGGCAGTCCTTCAATCTGTAAGGATCTAGTAGAGTTTCTATTAAAAGCTCCATATCATTAAATTTATTATTTGGAAACAAGAATTTATGATAGATCAAACATTTCAACCATGTCAAGGCCTCAATCAATCAATCAGATTAATAAATAAAAGTCCTTCCATCCGTTTTAAACTGACAGTAGAAAAGGAGTAGGGGAGAAAGCACCATTTGGGGACTGGATTTAAACATGTTTCTAACTGAATATTTGTCTAGCACCAATAGTTCTGGTATTTCAAGAAAAAAAAAAAAAAAAAAAAGCCAAAGTATTCTGCTGTGTGGAGTCCTCTACAAAGTGGACCGTTACAGGATTTCTGTGGTTTCTAACAGCATATTATTGGTAAACAGTTCTCTACTGTTATAACTTTTAAACTCATCTAATAAAAGTTTTAGTTAGAAAATGAAAGCAGAAATGAATACAGAGACCAAGATAACTTGAGTGATTTTACACTGCTATAGCTCATGAATTGCGACATTTGGTATATCAAAAATAAGCTAAGGAAAGTGAGATTTGATAGGTAGGTGATAGCACAGGAATAGAAGTCAGCTAAGAAAAGTCATTATGGAAGGGGATTATACAATACTTTTGAGAAGAGAGCAGGGGAAGTCTTGGCTGTAGTAGCATCACTCAAAGAGATGTTGCTGCAGGGACATGAATATTGCAAGGCAAGATCTCACTGGGATGAGAACATAAAACAGAAAAATAGAGCAAATGAACTCGTAGTAAAATAACCAAGTTGGGAATTACCTTGTTAAGACAGTTTCTGTCCTATTCATCAAAAAGATTATTTGGGTTTGTACAGGGCAGAGCTATAAGTTCTACTGGAGGAGACAACAATGAATATGATTCATCTTTTAATGAATGCTTAGTGTTTAGTCTTTAATGTGCCATACCACCATCTATGTGTTTTAGACAGATGCTATTTAAAACACCAAGCATGGACACTGAATATCTCCTTACAGGAAAGCAGTTCATTAAGCTATCAAAGAAGCAGTCAAGGTACAATAAAATCATAGCTGTTGTGCTTTGTCACAAAATAAATAAAGAAAGAAAGAAAGAAATGAAAATCTCTTCATGCTCTTCACATTGAAATTGCAGACTTAAAGGTAACATGCAACCTGTGACCTTCGGTGACTTAAGCACGGAAGCTGAGCTTCCAATTGTTATGATTTCTAATCTTGCAGTGTGTGTAAAAGTTTTGAGAAGATAATTCTGGAGTTTTCTTTGCTAAGTAGGCATTAAATATGCATATATTAAAGAAAATAAAAGCAGAACTAATTTCACTGACTAATATCTTCCTTTTGGTAATGTAAAAAGATGATATGGCATTTATCTGGGGAATTCAGTACCACCAAAAAGAAGGCCTGACTGACTTAACTGGGTGGTTGAATATTTCAGTTTCTTACTCTCAGCAAGCCCAGTGGGGAAACTGCTTATTTACATCACAGATTTTCTCAAGATTGGCTTATCTCTGTTTTCCCCTTTTACTCTTTGTATATGAGATTTAGAATGAACATCAATAGAAGGATGCAAAGTCAAATTTCCAGTCTGTAAGCACCACAGCAGTAGTCACTTAAAATAGCAGAGGCATTTGATAAGTGGTGGTAATTCTCAAGGTTGGTGTTAACCCACCGATAAAGTACACTTTATCATAAAAAGACAGCACATTACAGGTAAGATGAGCAGACCATACAAACTAGTTCTGTAGGATGTTTTCCATGTCTCTTCATGACCTGCTTAGCTATTTTTGACCTGCTCTTAGAGAACACAAGGCGATTAGAGCAAAAGGTAGCTGTTAGGACAAGGCAAGAAGTGGGATGAGAGATGAACATTTTCAGTGTCTTTTTGAGAGATTTGACTATATAAAGGTTAGATCTGACATCCTAGAGTACTGTCTGTGCTGGGTTTCAGGAAAATTTGCATGCCTCATATGGTTGAGGGTTACAAATACAGACGTGTAGTTCAGATGCATCTCATGGAATTCCAGGAGCAGTGGTAATTTTGTATTTGCAATTTTATGGCATTTTACTCTGATATGAAACTTGCATGCTTTTGGAAGATATTATAGCTGAATTGTCTTTGTATAATGGGATCCCAGGCACAATCAACAATCTATATCTGAGCTTTATTAATAAATATTATATATTATACAACCTCTCCTAATGGGTAAGACCCACATGTTCAATAAATATTCTGAGCAAGAACGTTTCCCAAAGCAACCAACATTATTTCCCTTTAATCAGAAATAGATCTATATTGAAAGACCTCTATGAGCCTACTATGTGAAAACAGACAGCATGCTTACATATCAAATTCTCAAATATCAAATATATTCTCTTGGAATACACACCAGCAATAATAATAGTCCTGCATCTGCTTTCATACACAATATCGATTAGTATCACTGTACCTTATAATTTAGTATGATCTATATGCATAAGCTCAAACAATTTAATGTACATAATCTCAAATATTGTCTATTTTTGAAAAGGTAGATATACCTGCATTCACAATTTTCATTGATCTTTTATATTCTGAGTCAGATGATATAGAAAATTTTACATTTACACTCAAAAGTCTTAGCTGAAAAAAAGACACATGGATTCAGGATGTACTCATTTTATATTCAGCATTTAACTGATGAGTGTCTATGTGATTATTCTTTCATTCTAGATAATAATTGTGTGCTTTCATTCTTAAAAAGTATTCAGGAAGGATTAAATCCACAAAATGATCTAGGTATCATAACATTAATCATACCACTATTGGTGGTATCTAGACACCTAAGCATTAAAAATGGACCCAGCATTCAGAAAACATGAAAGAGAACCAAGAATGAGCTTCACAAACCTGACAAAGACAACACTAACCAGCTGACGGCAAACATGTAAAAGTGAGTATGATCCTTTCTCAGGAAATTAAACCATTAACTCCAGATTACAAAATCATGACTCCACTCAGAATTTACAATAATGAATGCTTGAGTTGCATGGGTTGCAACTCAATGCAACTCAATTGCAACTATGGGTTGCAACTATGATGATTTTTTTTTCTATTTTTCTTGCAGTTTTAGATGAAGGAAAACAAGGTTAAAAAATAAAAATAAAGGAAAAGGAAAAAAAAATATATCTCACTGTCCCTCCATTTATTCTGTTAAATGTAATTGGTAGAGCATTTCCTGGGAGATCTTGAATAAAATACCTTTCACACCACTTTTGAAGGAAGTACTTGAATTCAGGACTGCAGCTCCATGGTAAGCATCCTCAACAGCTGAATATAAAGAACTTTCAGGCTAGTTATTAATAGAAGTCCTTGTTCAGCTTGAGCAAAGCAGAGTTTTGAACATGGGTGTCCTGTGCATCACAGATGAGGCTACAACACCTTTCAAAGGATACAGAAGAGGAAGGAAGGTAGGCAACCCTCAGTGAATTTTGTGTTTTATAAACTTGTAATAATCTAGCCCCAAGGACTGAACAGGCAAGGGGATGCATCCTCTCTCAGTTCAGCCTGGGAGCAAAGGATAAGCCGCCTAATGCCATTTGGTAGTTATACCCACCAGAAGAAACTTAAGCATGATGGTGAGCCACAGCTTTAGGTTGGAAGTGGCTCTGACACTATGAATTTAAACAAAATTGAGATGTCCAAACCTCTTTGGATTTAGCCCTGAAAATAATGAGAGTAGTGGTATTTTTAAGATTCAAAGGCTATGTGCAAAGACCTGCAACTGAGAGTCAAAAACACCCTTCTATTTAAAACAGTCTCAATTTCCAGAAATCAATATATAGAAAAGAATCAGTACCTTCAAAATAGCCTTTGAGATGTAAGTGTTAGAACACCAATGCACTTTTAAAAAATAGCATACAGCTCTGTGGGAGGGCAGACCCTATGTAGCAGGAGAAAAACAGGCTTCAAACTCCTTTAGACAACTGGAAGATTTAAGAGAGATCCCCTCTTAATGCACTTGTGAAAAGGAAGTAAATTTATATGACAAAAAACTAGAACTTTTAAGACATATCAAAGCTTTTAAATTACCTTTGAGTTCTCTCCATAATATTTTATGAAACTTTCTTTGAACTATTTTTTGTCATGGCTGTGTGTCAGGTGCCTATAGGAAGGTGCTGCAGCGAGGGCTGCAGACCGGTCTCTGGGAGGAGATGCCAGACACAACTGAGTCCAGCCGGCTCTGCAGTGGGCCCACCGCAAGACATACCTGAGCCCATCAGCAAAGGTGGTGGCGCCTCTGTGAAAACATGTTTAAGAAAGAGCAAAATGGTGCAGAAGAGAGTGAGGAATGAGAAAAAAGGTGTAAGAAACAGTCTGGGAATAATGAGGGAAGAGAAGGAGGTAGAGATACTCCAGGCACCAGTGCAGAGAACCCCTCATGCAGCCAAGGAGAGGCCCACACCAGAGCAGACATCCACACTGCAGCCCATGGAGGACACCACACCAAAGCAGGCTGTCCTGACAGGAACTGTGGCCCACAAAGAGCCCATGTTGGAGCAATTTTTGAAGCACTACAGCCCATGGGAAGGGCTCACACTGGAATGGGGAAAAAGTGTGAGGAGGGAGCAGCAGAGAGGAGCAGAGATGGACTAAGCCTAATCCTCCTCTCCTGCTCCCCCATGTGCAGCTCTGGGCATAGGATGGGTAAAGGAGACAGCAATGAAAAAATGGATTTGAGCATGGGTAGATGCCAGGGCAAAGGTATTGTTTTAAATTGACTTTGTTTCTCACTATCCAAATCTATTTTAATTAGCAATTAATTACATGTATTTTCCTCAAGTCAAGCCTGTTTTGCCTGTGATGGTAATTGGTAAGTGATCTCTCCCTGTCTTTATCTTAACCCCATGAGCTTTTTCATCTTATTTTCTCCTTTGTCCTTTTTAAGAGGGGGAGTGAGAGCAGCTGAGTGAGCACCTGGACAGTCAGCCAAGTTCAACCCACCACAGCTTGTACAGAAGGCCTGATTTTTGCAGTTACATCAGCTGCACCTCTCCATGGGATTACTTTTATTGACTGTAGTAGTTTCTCTAGCTAAATAATCATGCAAAAGTTCTGACTGTCTGTGCCTCTTTTGGCCTCTATATCCAGACTAATAACCTTTATTTATATTTCTTCAAAGTACTTTACATCTCTTGTATGTATTTCTGCTATTGCAAAATATGTATAAGCTATGAGAGCATTTTTAATGATATTGGCAAATCTGTCTCAATAATAAATTAGTTTTTTCTTTTCTTTCTTTTCTTCAAGACTAACCTTAATGTGGCAGTCTTCCAATGCCTTTTATTATTATTATTATTTATTATTATTTTTCATTATTATTATTATTTTTTTACCAGGTAAAGAAAAAGGACATCTGTACAGGACAAAGTTATTGGGGCTTTTGATATAGCTATTGACTAATCTACAGTTATCTGAGTTTGAAGTCAGTATACACTCTCCCTGGAAAGTGGAATCTGGCACAAAGGCACAACCATATAATAAATAAAAACATTCAGATTTAAGTTAATTCATTTTCTTCTCAGGGAATTTGTAAAAAGCTATGAATAAAATAAAAAAGAATGGAGAAAATGTGATTCTGTTTTATGTAGTTGACTGACAAATATTCTGCATCAGAGAGTTTACCTCACATTCAGAAGCATAAAAGGTAAGCAATGCCTATTGCAGGTTCAAGCAAAAGCAGTGGTTTCATGGGATCTGTGAGCTCGCTCAGATTGACAGTCTGTGTACACTGCACTATTCACCCCAATTCTTCTCTTTTAAACTTCTGTACCTTTGTATAGTGTCTATGTTTTAGAGTCTCACAAAGATTTACTCACTTGTACATCAGAAAAAAAATAAAAAATGGTGGGGAAAAAAAATAAAAAATAAAGAAAAAAAGTTGCTGGGGGCAAATTCCTAGTGAAGCAATACCTCATCCTAAGAGTTTCTACTCAAAAGCCAGGCTCAGAGCTTGTTTCTCTCCAGGTTACAAGTTTCAACTGTCACAAAGCACAAGATTAACAGTTATAAAAACTTGAGAATGGTACTAAACACAGTGCTGGGAAGAGAGCCTTTCTACATTGCATACAGTAGTGCCCCAAGCTACTTAAATGCCAGACTGATATGCAGCTAATGAGTATTTCTTTAGCATAGTTACAATTCCTTTCTTATAGGTGATGTATCCCATCCAGAAACTGTCCTGTAAGAATGAGAAATCTTGACATTCTTCCTTTTGATAACTAACTAACAGTCTTAATACATCAATACAATAAAATATCTTTACCTGATATTTTATGTTACCTGGTGGCTTTGAACACCTATTTTAATTAAGAAGCAGCTGACACGTTGAACATTTCAGTTCAAGTCAATTTGCCATGAATGAAATACTGAACAGTAATAACGGAAGGGTACAAACAACAATGTCAGTAAATCCTCATCTGTAACACCAACAAGATACAGGCAATCATCTATAAAATGTAGCGGGAAGAAAAAAGGCCTAATGAGACAGTAGGCCTGCTACCAAAAAAATAAAGAAAAATTAGGTAGAAGGCAGAGTTCCATGAACAGAGTAACAGAAATAAGGATTAAATCCTGTTTCACTGAAATCAGCAGCAAAACACTTGGGGGTGGCTAATCAGATCTCACGCCAAGCAAATTAAAAGAGGCCTATCACAGAATTGTAGGGGTATTGAAGGGAAGGGACCTCGACAGATCATAGGATCCAGCCCCCCTGCCAAAGCAGGTTCCTTAGAGCGGGCTGCCCAGGTAGGCGTCCAGACGGGCCTTGAATATCTCCAGAGAAGGAGACTCCACAACCTCTGTGGGCAGCCTATTTCAGTGCTCCTCACCTTGAAGTTCTTTCTCATGCTGGTGCGGTACTTCCTGTGCTCCTTCTTGTGGCCATTACCCTTTGTCTTGTCCCCACAAACCACTGAAAAGAGGTTGGCCAAATGCCTCTGTCTCCCACACTTTGGGTATTTATACACATTGATAAGATCCCCTCTCAGTCTTCTTTTCTCCAGGCTGAACAGACCCAGGTCTCTCAGCTTTTCTTCATAGGGAAGATGCTCCATGCCTACGTCACAGAAGGAGTAGAGAAAGTGAAAGAATAAAGTTTGCGCCAGGACAGCAGAACCCAACATGAGACAGAATTGCCAATATTTCATTACGACATACTATTTTTGAATGCCAACTTATTACAGACAATAAAAACATCAAAAAGCCAGTGGATGTGGTGTTTTATAAGGAACCCATCGCTTTTACCCAAATGATTTCCATTTCTGTGAATCTAAAAATAAAGTTTCACAATTTTCTGTCAGAATTTATTGTTTTTAGAACACCATTTATTCTTTGAATTAAAGGATTATTGTTTCATGGTACAGTTTCACTCCTTTCCCAGTCATTGACAGAGAACTGAAAATTCATTTTGCACATATCTATTCATTTCATTCTTTTCTTTCCCTCCAGCTTTTAATCACCATCAGGAAAATCTCATCTCTCCATAGCAAACAAAGCAACATTTTCATCTTCAAAACCTCAGAGAAACTAAATCATTTTTCGTAAGATTGAGAAGTAGAGAGAGATTCTGCCTGGACTGCCTCTCCTATTTTTGCACCTGCATTATCCTCCTGGATTATCCTGCTGTCAGCTGCTTCTGCACAGAAAACATGCTATTATATATGCACAGCACTGACTGAAGTCTCTTGCTTTTTCAAGCCATGCTCACCCACTTCAAAGTTGATACTGTGCCATCAGCACTATTAGTACAGGTTGCAAAAAGCATTTCATTATTTAGGATTCTGCAACAAGGACACCCTGTATACTGTGGCAAGAGAGGTGTGGGATAGAAGGAAGTACGAATAAATAGCTGACAAGTGTAGAGAGAGCAGTGGCAAAGGTTCCCACCTTTATTTGCAGAGAAGTCTGCAGTTGAATGAATAACAGCAGTCCCCTTGTGGCACCACATTCATTTTAACATCAGTGAGGAACAGTTGGCATCTGTAAACTTTGTTTACCTGGACACCAGATTGAATTGATGGAATACTTCATGTTAGAAATGTTGAGGATTACAGCAAAACTCTCCCTTTAACATGCACTTGCAAGTCTATTTCAGAACACAGAAAGGACTTTTCTGTAAATAGTGTATTATCTGAAAATAATGAGAAGGTAGTTAGTGTTTGCAGAAGCCAAGGATGTTAGTGAAAGTGCCTAAAATTCTAGCAGAATACTAGGTATTGCAGCAAGGAAGAAACTAAAAAAAGAATAACACTGAAAAAAAAAAAAAAAGTCCTGTGGGGCACAAATAGAAGATCTGACATTTTCTGACAGTTTAGCTAAATCCATTGTAATGAGAAAAGAAAGATTCTATATGAAATCAATTCTGTTTGCAATACTTATCCTTGGATGTTGTGAAGAACCATTTCACATCTCAGAGATGACATCCTTTTCTGTAGGGTCTAATCCAAAAATCATTTAAGTTAGTGGGCTGAAAATGACTCAACTCAACTAGGAATGATAGCATCTGCCATAAGATTTGTTTCACATCTCTACAGTTTCAAAAGCATCACAGACATATCTCCAGGAACAGGACGAAAGGAGAGGGAAATGTTCAAATACCCCCAAATCTTTGTTTAAATTTTCCACTGTTTGAAACCTTTCCCATCGTTTTCATGGTCATAAAAAACGTTCCATCCCATCACAGGACACAATGAAAAAGGAAGCACAAATATCAGTTTTGCAATGTGCAATCTGCACAGTAAAGTTACATTATTATTGTTTTTAACTTAATTCAAATATTTAAATTAAAATGTTCAAATAAAATAGAAGGTACAATGGAAACATATAAACACATCACATGAAAGGGTTTACTTGGAAATAAATAGGCTGGAGAAAAAGGAACTACGATGCTTATGGAAAAAGATGAAAAGAATAGAAAGTAAAAGCTAGAATACTTAAGCCAAGACTCTTAGGAAAACAAATATACTGTGATGGAAGAGCATGTGAAGTTTTACATTTAAAGGTTTTAAACTATTTAATTTTGTATATTTAAACAATGAGGAAATGGGAAAATTCCTGCACAGAACAATTGGGATGGCAGTTTGTTCCACTGAGAGATAGGAAGAACTAAGGCTATAAACACTGCCATACTGACAGTTTTATGCACAGTTTTGTTACTAGGGTGAAGTCAAACAAATCAGAGGTGTACTTGTGAAAGAACTTATTAAAAAGATGCCTGGAAAATTAATATATTTAACATATTCACATGCTACTTAGTAAAAAACACAGGAAAATCAATTGTTTCTGGTTTTGAGACTTAAATAAGTAAAATTACAAAAAGCAACACAAACCAATACCATAACAGTACTGAAGCTGGTGCTGATTAAATTGCAGAATCATTCACCAAGCACTATGTCAGATATCCCATAGCTTAAGATAACAGAGACTTGAAAAAAAAATCCACAGGAAATGCTGTAGGAAATGGGCTGGAGGGTGGCCAAAATGACTAACAAATCTTTACTGCCTATAATCCAAGTAAGAAATGAAAAGAAAGATAAAGGAGAATAAACAGCGCTCTCCCTTTCTTCTCTCATTTGAATGGCCAGCAGCCTCCCCCAGCAATGCTGCAATCACCACATCCCACCTCTTGCCACTCCACCCAGGGAATGTATGCTTCAGGGACCTCCATGGACAGTAGCAAATGGTTTCCTACAGCTGTGAGGGATTCAGTCCTAAGGGAAGGAATTTAAACCAAATCTTTTGCCCCATACTTTACTGCAAGTGCATGTCTTTGTACACTTCAAATATAGCAGAACTCTCTCCAGAATGGTTTTGCTTTTAAAAACTGATGGAGTAGGAGGAAGAGAAGAGGAAGGGAATCCATGGTGTGGGTTAACCCTTGTTAACCGTGTTCCTTGATTAGTTGTTAAAATTCTTTATACACTCCATAAGGAGAGAGGGGATGGAAGCACAACTTTTTTGTTAGATAACTGCTGTAGG